AGACTAGTAATATGCGCTAACAAAGTAAATAGGTTCAATTTTGATTTCACGGGGACTTTAAAGCGGAGGAAAACCGGAGAAAACGGGATTATGGCAGAGTCTTCAATATTTACTGTCCTCCCGTCTTTGAAACGAAACGTACATACGTTTAGATGTAATTTTATATATAGTTATGTTTATTTAATATAATTTTAAAAAGAAGCATAAACACAACGAGGGATGTCTGTTTTATCTGTTTTTGTGACTAACGTTTCATTTGTATAACCATGGAGTATAAAATTCAATATAAATTCTCAGCATTGCATTGGACTCTATGATCGGCGGAAGTTATCAAGCATCCTTAATCCTTCACCGGAAATAACGCCGTGCATAGAGCCCATTGCCCCATTTGTGAGATTAATAAAGTTGATAAAAAAAGTTAGGTAGTCTCACTTTTAGTTACGTCTTCACTATTATTATATTTCGAAGGGCAAAACATGAACTTTAACCATTGGCTTTACTTTTTTAATCAGCTGTCAATTCAGCGGCAGTAGCATAGCATTAGCACCTCAGCTCCACCCGCGTCCCGCCTCTTTGCCCATTTTAATTAATCCGGTAGTGACGAGAGGTGACGCACTGCCAAGATGGCGACGGTTGGCCCCGCCCATTTTAGGCCTCAAAATCGCTCTTCAGAAACCTATGGGTGACGTCACGGACATACGTCCATATTTTTTTTACAGTCTATGGTCCCTACGCAGTGTTCACTGCTCCCTACTCCCTGAACACGGTATATCAGTTGAAGTGGACTTCACTGACTTCCTGTGAAGTGATGTATCGATGTTCCCTTATTCCCTATGCCGTTTGCAGTAGGGCTGAACGATTATGGAAAATAATCTAATTGCGATTTTTTTAACCAATATTACGATTGCGATGTAATATGCGATTTAAAAAAATTTTTTTTTACCTTCTGCATTAGTCGACAAAGACAAGCGATAAATCATTGTACAGTAGGGATGGGAATCTTGAGGCAGCTCATGATCTGATCTACTTTTTTCTTTTAATTAATCTTAATAACACTTAAAATATGTATTTAATTACATGTGTAAAAACACATACTTTAAAAAATAAATATATATATAAAAACATTTAATTAAACCAATTACATGTTAAGAATTTTAAATAGGCTATATAAAATAATATAGCTTCAAAATATGAAAGCTAGTAAATAAAGAGAAACAAAAAAGCATTACAAGCAATAAAGAAAGAGTGGTCTCAGTATTTAAAAGTAGGCTGTCTGAATGTTTTTCATTCAAGAGTTGGAGTGATTCCCCCTCAGTTTAGATATGATAAGCTGCATTCACACTAATGCACATGTCTCTTTTGAAATTGTAAATGTCGTTTGTTCTCTTGGTTTAAGATATAACTGACCGTGTTTACATTAATTTCGCGTCATAAAAGGATTTTGGCATGCACGTTTATGCACATTTAACCAATGAGTCGCTCACGGCCGCATGCACGAGCGCTCTTCACAAAGCACGCGTTAGTATTTTAAAATGAAAGCAGCCTTCTCAGTGATTTTCATAGTTTTAATATATAAGCCAACTGCATTCCAAAAGACATAAATAATGCCTCTGTGAAGCATTTGTAGGAAAATTCCCGCGGGAGAGAACGCGCACTGCAAGTGTAACGTTATAACATCAAGCAAAGCCGCAAAACCTGTTCAATGAAGCCCGCGAATGTCCTTGTAATTCGGTTCAATTCCGAACTTTATGAAATAATGTTACTATGTTTTGGAAGGTTCGAGCGGTGTCGTGTGTGTGAGTGAGGAAGAGAGAGAGCGAGAAAATAGAAGCAAGCAGATTCAGAACACGGTTCGTTTCTAAAGCACGCGCACCGTCATCACGCATCTGTGTTTAAAAACTAAGCTCAGACTCAATTCTGAAATTCTCTGAATCGATCCAGGATTGTTGAGGAGAGGAGAGAATAAATAACACAATAAACTGTTCTTTCCTGGACGCCAGACCGTGTAGCGTGGCAAGTTGATGCTTTATCTTGCAGACTGCTTTTCTCTCGCGTGTCAAGTGACCAGTGTAATCGCAGCTCTTGCGATTACAAAATCGCGTTTCATCATATCGTGATTTTATCGCAAATGCAATTAATCGTTCAGCCCTAGTTTGCAGTGCCCTTCGAACTGAACATGTTCGTTCCCTTCGAATTGGAATCTCACTTAAGATGGCGAAATACCCTGTGAAGTCCACTTCGCAGTCCACTTTTGGTCGAATGGAACGCATCTACAGTCAACTTCGCGAATACAGGAAGAAGCCATCTTTGAAAAATTGTCTCTACCAGTCGATCTACGAACGCCGATCCATGTGCGCTGGTGAGATGTGAATAAGGTGATAAGGCGAGCGCGAACAGTAGGCTACGTGTACATATTGAAGAGAAGAAAACGGTTCGTGTTTGTGTTTCTTCCGGAAACAACGGACCATATGAGATTCTGCACAGTTCAGCGCACTTGGATCGGCGTTCGTAGATCGACTGGTAGAGACTATTTTTCAAAGATGGCTTCTTCCTGTATTCGCGAAGTTGACTGTGCGTAAAAAAATATCTTCTTGTTAAACTGTTTGGACACTGACAAAGTTCTCAATGCTTCGGTTTGAATGTAGGGACCCTTATTATGCTATTGTGTAACTGTGGGGCTATTTTGAGCCTTGTTAGTGGTAATAACAAGCGATTTTAATTTGTCATTAATCTATGCCCTATATCATAGACATATACACTAGACCTCACCTTGGCTACGACAGTTCATTGGAACGAATGCGTCAATAGAGCCGCCATCTTGAAACAGGGGAGCCCCTCCACTTTAATGCATCAGCGTCAATGAAGTAGACACAGGTCTAACGGAAATAAAATCACCATAAATCATCATGAATGCGATTTTTCTTGTTTTTTTGGTCAGACATGTATTTATCATTGATTCTAGAAAGAATTTAAAAAAAAAAAAAAACATTCTTCCTAGTTCAGATTTCATTAGTGAACATCATACGCTGCACTTAAGTCCGCCACCATCAATGAATTCGAAGTAAAGGCAGAGATAGCAGCGTTACCTAGCTACTTCCTATGACAAGACCCCTGTTCCAAGATGGCGGCGGTTTTGACGCATGCTTAGAACCCCAAGGTGAGGTCTAGTGTATATGTCTATGGCCCTATATACTAGCATTATACTAGCGTTATAGGCTAAACTGTTTTTAGAGATAAAACTATTTACATTCAGCAATCATGAAAACAAATCTCAGATAACGGTTGAATAGGTAACAATGTGTAATTAGACCAAAGGTTCATTTTGCGCCGGAGTTGTCCTTTAAGTATTGATTAGTCAGTTGTATGGTCCCTAGTGAAAAATCAATATACTAAAATGTATAAAAATTTTTTAAATACATTTATTTTATGCTAAGTATATGACAAATGCATTTACATATTAATGTACTTAAAATAAACACAGTGCAATTGTACTTTTAGTATGCTGAATTGGTACACTTAAAGTCTGTTAAATTGGAACAAGTAATTTTGTTCTTAATTCAGTTTAGTTAACCAGAAATATGAGTTCCAACTAAAGATACACTTATGTTTGTTTGTGCTAAAGTGGAACTATTCCAAGTATACTTTAGGTACATCTTAAATACTTTTATACTTTTTAAATACATTTAAAGACTGATATTATACAAAGACTTAGTATCCTTATTAATAGTGACATTAAAACACATTCTAAGCTTAATATTAAGAAATATGCATTGTGCTATGAAGAAGTACTCAAAATAAAGTTTAATTCGAATATTTATATCAGTAAGTCTCAAGTCACAGTTGCAGTATGTTAATGGATCTGTGGTAGTATGAAATAAACATTTTATTTAGGTATCTGTTTTTTCCCCTAGGGGTTCCATGAATGTATTTATAAAGATGCAACCAGCATTGCTATAATGTTATTTTAGTATAGTTAGAATGACTTTTTAGCGATTCAGATTTTTTATTTCTTTATTTCAGTTGGGAGACAGAGAAATCATTCATCTATCTTTTTTTTAAATAACATACTAGCAAAACACTGCAACAGTATTTTTTTAAAGAATAATTAAAACTGCTATACTATGCATATGGCTGAGATGTAGATTTGTTAGAATTCATGACCTCTAATGCAAACATTAGCCATTAAATACATAATTGATAACAAATTGATACAGAAAACAAATGTCTCTGGAACTATTTTATATTTGATCATTTATAAATCAGTGTATAATTGATTATAAGTATGCACATTGAAAAAGCTAGTGCATGACTTATAAGTAATTATATTTTATAGATTTAAAAAAAAAGATATTTTTATAGAATAGTAATTTACTTACTTATAAATAAGTATATATGAGGCTATAATTCATCATAAGCATACTGCCCTACAAAGCAAAAAGGCAGTAACTACGTAGAGTGCAGAACTGAGAAAAATGTCTTTTGCTAGGGCTTTTTGCAGTTACTGTACAAACCACTACCATTTTTCTCTAAAACGACACGCATTTAAAATAAGATGTTTTGTCACATAACAAAGGATGCCTTGAATGTCATGAAAATTGTAATAATTATAGCTTTACCAAAACTGCAGTTACTGCCTTTTTGCATAGGCTTCATACAAAGTGTTACTCCATTTTTCTTTGGGATGCAACACCAAGTTGTAAAATATGGGTATTAAAGCAAAACCAACTTAGGACCACTGGGTTAGAGTATTGTATAAGGAAACCGTTATGCAAGTCATGAATGCCCTGTCACTTATCATAGTAAAAGTTAATTAAGAACAAAATAAATGAAATATTTGGCTAATCTGATCATGTATTCACTAACCAATATACATTATACCATTTTTAATAGCCTATTATTTTACCAGTAGAAAATAATAAATATAATTTTAAAAAAATCTGATTCTGTTGGGGCCTGTTGATAAGCTTAGTAAAGCACCTGACCACCCTTCATTCCCTCAGCTCCTGATGGCAGTGAAATGAATAACTCTGTGAGTGGCACCATAGAAAATCATCAGGGCTACACTGTACCACCAAAAACCTCAGAGGAGAAACACTGTCATTGCATCTGCCACCTTCAAAGGCCTGGTATGAAACTGGTCTGGGTACCTCTACAGGATACTGTAATTGAATCAAGGGAAATCAAGAGAGATCAGTTTCTAAAAAAGGAGGATGTTTTAACCAGCAATGAAGTCAGTAGGCCACAGAATAGTCCATCTCGCCATTCAAAACCCCAAGTATTGCCTCCGTGTGTAAATTGCCAAAGCTTTCTGCTTCACCACAGCCCTCAAAAATTAGCAGGAAAAGGGTTTGTATACGCTGATGAGTCATTTCAAAACCACTCAAACCCCCCTGTACCGCCAAGGACTTATCAGTCCTCTGATTATCAAAATAGCCAACAATACACACAGCTTGACCACACCGATGATCATATATACTTGGATCTTTTGCCATCAAATGTTGCTGCTCCAGCTGTCCCCCCTCGTCCTCCCCCAAGACTTCCTCATCACCCTCCACTTAAGCAAAAGACAGAGAGGCGGACTTCTCAGCCAGCATTGGCCTGTGTGGTTTCTCTTCGAGGGGGCGGTCTACCTATTAGAAACACCAGCAACTGTGAGCGTGGAAGAATGTCTCGCCCTATGCCTGTGCTAAACCCATCAGGTGAGAACAGAAGTTTTATTAGCGAAAAAGTGTGTACGACTTTAATATTTACTGTGCACTTTTAATGGCTAAGATTTTGCCAAGAATGACACAATTTTTGAATTAAAGGGTTAGTTCACCAAAAATGAAAATGAAGTCATTAATTACTCACCCCCATGCTGTACCAACCCCGTAAGACCTTTGTTCGTCTTCGGAACACAAATGAAGATATAGAAGGACTCTGATGAAGATGTAGTTTTAGATCGAAACGTTAGTCAAGTCACTGTTATGCACCTCAAATAAATTTGTTACCAAGAAGATTTATCCGTTGCACTGGCGATTCTTTTTTTATGTTTGATCTTGTCCTGCCCTGGATGCACTGGATCATTTGTGAATTTACAGAAGCGCAGCAAGCCCTCCTTTTCATTTTGAAACAAATGAAGATATTTTTGATTAAATTTGAGAGCTGTATCACTACCACATAGGCTGCCTAAAGGAATGGATCTTGACGGCCCAGAAAGTCAATGAAGAAAATGTTTAAATATTCCATGTGACAACAGTGGCTCAACTATAAGTTTATCAAGCGAGTAGAATACTTTTTGTGCTAAAAAACAAACAAAAATAACGACTTTATTTGACTATTCCTTTTCTTCCTTGTGGGCCTGAAACCTTCAAGAGATTTCCACAACGCATGCGCGAAAACTGAACTGAAGTAATTGAAGGAGATCGCAATTCTCGCGCATGTGTTGTGGAAATCTCTTGAAATCTCGTTTAAGTATTCTCGTCGCTTGATAAACTTATAGTTGAGCCACTGTTGTCACATGGAATATTTAAACATTTTCTTCATTGACTTTCTGGGCCGTCAAGTTTCGATCCCTTAGGGTGCCTATGTGATAGTGATACAGCTCTCAAATTTAATAAAAAATATCTTCATTTGTGTTCCGAAGACGAACGAAGGTCTTACGGTGTTGGTACAGCATGGGGGCGAGTATTTAATGACTTAATTTTCAATTTTGGGTGAACTAACCCTTTAATGCCTTGTGTTGATCCTAGAACAACACTCTTGTCGAAAATAAACATAGTCTCAACCCTGTTCATAACCCCAAACATTAAAGTATGTTCCTGTGTAACATTGTCCAAGCCCCTAAAACCAGCCTAGACCCTACCCTAATTGCTCCAGGAATATTTCCTTCTTGCTGAAATCATTGTGGACATCAAGATATGCTATGAGTTCTTTTTTCTGTCTTTTTTTCCTCTCAAATATCTCTTTTAAATGCTGTATTCATTACTCAAATGAAACAGATATTTGTCTAGATTTCTGGAAAGCTGTTTTTTTTTTTCTAGGTGAGAGCTATGAAAATGGGAATATCAAAGACTGGGAGTCTATTGACAAGAAAGAGTAAGTTTACAGTTCTTAAAAGTCAAATTATTTTTGGGGGCTCAGTAGGCTGTTAAAAGTTTTGTAAAAATATTTTTGATATGAAAATATTAAAATGATAATGACAGTAGCTTACACACACACACACACACTGACTTGTTTTTTATTCTGACTTGTTTAATACGCCATCTTCCAATTAATATTCGTTGAGTTTAATTTACACATCCTCTTTCCCTGAAATAAAAACCTGACATATCCAACTTTTACGGATTTGAAAAAGAGAGGTTTAATTTCAGACTCACTGCTAACAGGAAAGACTGTCAAAGTGAAAGTCCGAGGTGGTGAGAATTACCTCTTTTGTCTCCCAGGTTTGTTGTGAGTTTAGGTTTAGAAATTACATTTTAAAAAGAACACTCTTGTCATTTGGCCTTAAGGATCTGTGACTGATTCTAGTTTGAGCCCAGTAATGTGTGGCCAAGTTAAATAGTTGTAGGTTTCTTACAGGCTGTTTGACAAAACAGAAAGCCCACGGAGGATCTCCAGTGATTGGGAGCCAAACAGTGACTATGGTGAGATACCTAAATGACTACATGAAACACAAACAAGCATGCACGCACACGCACAATGTTGGGTTTCCTTGTTTTTATGGGGACATTACATTTACATACTGTATATCCCCTAACTTTAACCCTACCCCAACTTCTAAACCTTCTCATTACAGAAAACTTTCTGCATTTTTGCATTTTCAATTAATATCACTAGTATTACTTATAAGCTGTTTTCCTCATGGGACCAAACAATATCCCTACAAGGAAAAGGATTTTCAGATATTGAGGGGACATTTTGTTTGAAAAGGTTTACCAGAAAAATATTTTCATCTTAAAACTAGAGTTAGTGGTTTTCTTTTTTATTTAATATGAAGGTATTGGAGCAGGATTTATAGTACACTGGATAAGTTGAATAAGCATTAGGTGCAATAATGTTTCTTTGGATCTTTTGTGATTCAACCAAACTTTCTCAAACACATGTCATCCCCAGAACCTCTGTATCAGATCTACCAGGCTAAAGTCTCGAAAGAAGCCAGTCAGATCCAGACTGATAGCCCTGATTGCAACAGGAAAAGTGTTAGTGAAACTCTGGGTCTTGAGGGTCACGGAGGGCTGGGGGTGGTTGACCCCCGATCCAAAAGAGGCCCCGAAGAGATTACTCTCTGGCAAGACTTACCGGTGGTGAAGGAAAGTGGAATTTTATACAAACTTGCTCGCACTGAAATACAGAGACAAGAGGTTAGAGTAATATTTTTTTATTTTTTTTATTTTTTGTTCAAGTTTAGCTTGTACGTATCTTTATTTTAATCTTTGTGTGTTTTTAGAGCATGTTTGAGGTGCTCACCTCGGAGGCCTCTTACCTGCGCTCCTTGCGGGTTCTGAAGGATCACTTCCTGGGGTCACGGGAACTCAAAGAGACTATGGTCATTCATGATAGGAAGGCCCTCTTCTCCAACCTCCTGCAGGTCTATGAAGTCAGCGAGAGGTGAGAGGGATAGAGGAGAAACAATGAGAATTTTTACATTTATCTGAGGACTACAAAATGACCTACTCTTTTCTATTCAAAAATAGATTGTAACTCGTACTCCAAAAAGGTACCATAAAATAAGTCTAAGCTTGTGAACTTTATGCCAAGTCTTCTGACACTTGTGTGTGGAACAGCATAAAATTTACTATTATGAAATTGTTCACTCATAATGAAATCTTTGAAAAGTAATCTTGAATATTTTACCCATAATGAAAGTCAATCATTTACTCAAAAAAACAAAAAAAAAAAAGGAAAAAAAGAAATAAAATTAGCCTACATAACTAATGCACTATATTTGTGACGTTGTGCGGAGAAACAGAGCTGAGGCTGGGTCCAAACGCAGTGTAGCTTTATTAACAAACTAGAAACAAGACACAAGACTAGAAGCAGGACTCGAGAATCATGAAAGCACCAACGTAACACACATAAATTCAACAACCAACAAAGACAGGGCAGAAACACAGGGCTTAAATAATCAAGGACAAACGAGCTAGACAAGATAACAAGGGGGCGTGAGAAATGAGAAACACCTGGGATAAATAATAGACGGGCAATAACTAATAACGAAAACACACAAAATCACTTCGTGACAATATTACTGTATTCTAAGTCTTCTGGATCTAGGCATGGGCAGGGGTGAGTGGAGCCCACTTAAAAGTCTGCCTTGCCCACTCAATCAGAATTTAGGCACAGATAATGTCAATCTGTATTTCTATGATTTGTGCATTGATTAAAAACAAAACAGACAGGCTGTGTGTTGAGAAGTTTGATAAATGGCAAAAGAATGGCTGGCAATTACACAAGCTATAACAGGCAGATTTTTTTTTTTTTTTTTTGCGTGCTATCAAGGCAACAACCTACACTAGAGCACCGGATACCCTTGCTATGGCCCTCATTGCACTTACCTGAGTAGTTGAAATGCACTACAAAACATTGATCATTTAAGAGTGTGCATTTATTACATAGACGGAGGAGCAAGAACATAAGTATAAAATGAATATGCATAGCTCTGTTGAGGAACAGGCCTAAATTTATTTCATTTGTCACTGAAAAACATATCAGTCAAGGTCAAATGATCAATCATGACATAGTCATGGATTTGGAATGGCTTTAATAAGAATAAATTGGTACCGCTTCCTTTTACAGTACAGTACTTACAGTGTACTTACCTAGAAAGTACTAATAGGTAAGTACATGGAAGTAAACTTAAACATTAACCAAACTACCTCATGGGAATGAATAAACATATCTGTTTTTCATAGGTTTATAGGTGATCTGCTGAAGCGAGTCGATGAGAGTGTGGTGATATCTGACGTGTGTGACATCATTCATGAGCATGCAGAAAGCTATTTCTCAGTCTTCATTGATTACGTCAGAAATCAGCAGTACCAAGAAAAGACCTACAGCAGACTGATGTGAGACATTTATACACACCTAAATTCATTTGTAGTGAAACACACAACCACAAAATAATAATTCTAATCTAAAACAACAGTGAAAGCTTCTAAATACCTAAAGTGTATTTACTTTTAGAGTACAATGACCAAAGCATACATGTTAAGTGATAAATAAATGTAGTGTTGAAGAGTTGTTTATGTTTATGTGTATGTACTGGCAGGGAGAGTAACAGGGATTTTTCAGTTGTGATGAGGCGGCTGGAGGTATCTCCACTCTGCAAACGTCTGCCCTTCACATCCTTTATGCTTCTGCCTTTCCAGCGAATCACACGCATCAAAATACTTATACAGGTGCAATTTAACATTATAATGTTCTCAAAAATACCTGTTCCTCTCATTTGTAAATGTGAAATGAGCAGACAATAGTGCCTGGATCAATTTCAACCTTTTGCAGAATATCCAAAAGCGGACTGCAAAGGGCACTAAAGAGGAGGAAACTGCTTCCAAGGCCCTTGCTTCTGTGTCTGAGGTAAAAAGGGTTAAATCAGCATTGACCTTTGACCTTTAATATCTACAGCACATCTACTTTCATTGTTAGCGACATGTAATTTCCACTGCTTTTAATACATTTGCTTGAATTTTAATTCAGAAATGAATAACATGCTCATAACAGAAGAGGTGTACAGTATGTGTGTGAATTTATTTTTTTAAATGTCATTTATAATAAATTAATAGATCTGACCATCATGTCATTGACCCAAATATCATTATACGTAACATCAGATAAATAAATTAAAATGCTGAGTTGCAACTTTTCTTGGCAACATAAACCGTCTACGGATGGGCTAATAGGACATTTTGCTTGATGGAAGATTGTGATTATTTACTGAACATTGATGTAATAATTCTGATTGTGTGTACCACTAGAAAGTGGGACAATAAAACTAAATATAAACGTCTTTTAAAAAATGGTTCATAACTCTTAAATATCTCTATATGCATTTGTTTTACCTTACATGTCCAGCTTTGATCTCTATCTTCTTGTTTGTAGCTTATCACGCAGGCAAACACACAGGTGGGGCAGATGAAACAAATGGAGGAGCTCATCCACATCTACAACAAATTGGAGTTTGACAAACTCAAGGTCTGTAAATTAACTAATGGACTCTTTAAAAATAGATTTTCCAGAAAGTATAGCCTTATGCCATAGTAGAATATTTTCTTTAGAATATATCTACATACTCTTGCTTTACAGAACCCAGGAAGGTTTTATTCTGTTAACAGATGCCTAGAAGTAGGTATGCACCAAAATTTCGGCCGTTACAATTATCGGCCGAAAATGGCATTTTCAGTTTTTAATAGACAGAAAAATACACAGGAAGTGGTGAAGTCAAGCAGTCTGACAAACAGATCCCTAACGGAGGGTCCTTGTGGTAATTACAGTATGTTGGCCAGGAAATCCAAATGTTCACCTATCATTTATAAACCTCAAATATGGCTTTTCATTTGAAACATGTAATTAGCAACTTAACATGTCTGCTCGCTCTAACATTAATAGATAAATGTGTGCTATTGTTAGGCGCAAATTCAAGTGACGTGAAGGAACTCGGGCTGTTCCTGTGGGGGTTCTCTGGGTTTGTGTGGTTTCTCATCTGCCAAGCCCACAGTTAATGCCAAACTGCTCAGTAAAAGGGCCAGTCGATATACTGCTCAATGGTCCCGTTTAAGTCATGCAGTTGTATCATTATATAGCCAAGCGGCTCAGAAAGACCTCCACGAAAAAATACCAAAAATGGTAAATGGACTGCACTTATATAGCACTTTCATAGACCCAATGGCCACCAAAGCACTTTACAATTTGCCTCACATTCACCCATTCATACACATGCCGACAACAGTGTCAGCCATACAAGGCGCCATCCAGCTCGTCGGGAGCAGCTGGGGTTAGGTGTCTTGCTCATGGACACCTCAACACTTGGTCAGGTGGAACCGGGGATTGAACCACCAACCTTTCGGTTTGTAGACAACCTACATGAACCACTGAGCCACTGCCGCCCCAAGGCACAAATCATCCACACTAGACAGATGAGCCAGCTCCAAAAAGTCCCTTACGTAGTCCTCGATCGGTCGGTCTCCTTGACGGAGATATATCAGTTGTGCTGCTGGATTCATGTTTGGTGAGTTCTTCTGTCATGAAGTGGTTGAAGCAAGAGAGGAATCAGGATCCAAATGCTGCCAACTTTATTAGGCCCTGTTTACACGAGAACGCTCGCGGGTGAAATTGTAAAAAAATATTTTATCGGATGTCAAGTCAAGTCAAGTCACATTTAACATTAGCGCTTTTCACAATACAGATTGTATCAAAGCAGCTTCACAGTGATAACATGAAAGTAGCACAACACAGATCAACAACATTGCTAAACACTAAATAACCCCAACTGAGCAAGCTCAAAGCAAGCCAAAAGCAAGGCGACAGTGGCAAGGAACCAAACTCCATCAGATTGGATGGAGAAAAAACCTTGGGAGAACCCAGGCTCAGTCGGGGGCCAGTTCTCCTCTGGCTTACATTCATATTGTTTAAATATAAATATTAAATATAAATATTGTTTATGAATCAAACGGCGCCATAACATATCGCAGGCGTTGAGTCGTCTCTTCACAGGCGTTGAGTCGTCTCATCACAGGCGTTGGGGCATCCGAAATCCCCGTGAGAGGCTGGACACAAAACTGGACCTGACGAACGCCATTTTTCTCGGGACAAGCGTCCCGAGATAACAGCAGAAAGGCAGATGGGAAATAATTAGCATAGCTGATGTTCATAATGATTTCCGTTATAACTCACAAACTCTCCGTAACCTGAACTCTCCGCAACCCAACCATACGCGCCGACCCGTTTGTCTAAAAGGCTGTCGAGACCCACTGGTGCGTTAAGCAGTTTCAGTGGCAAACGGTTCCGTATGGCATAACAGAGGACTAGAAGGTAAGCATTATGTGAATGCTTGACTAAAGAGAAGCGTCTTTAATCTAGTTTTAAACTGTGTCAGCGAGTCAGAGGCTCGGACCGTATCGGGAAGGCCATTCCAGAGTTTTGGAGCTAAATGCGAGAACGCCCTCCCTCCTTTACTGGACTTCGATATCCTAGGAATGACCAGAAGCCTTGAATTTAGTGATCTTAAGGAACGCGGTGGATTGTAGGGCGAAAGAAGGTCCGTTAAGTACATAGGTGCTAAACCATTTAGGGCTTTATAGGTTAGTAGTAGTATTTTGTAGTTGATGCGGAACTTAATAGGTAACCAGTGTAGAGATGATAAAATCGGTGTTATATGATCATATTTTCTTGACCTAGTAAGAACTCTAGCAGCTGCATTTTGTACTAACTGTAGCTTGTTTATTGAGGATGCAGGACAACCAGCTAATAAAGCATTACAGTAATCTAGTCTCGAGGTCATGAATGCATGAACTAATTTTTCAGCATCAGAAACAGATAGCATGTTACGTAGCTTAGCAATGTTTCTAAGGTGGAAAAAGGCTGTTCTTGTAACATATGAAATATGATTTTCGAAAGACAAGTTGCGGTCTAGTATAACACCCAGGTCTTTTACTGTAGTGGATAAAGTAACAGGACATCCGTCTATATTAAAGTTGTATTGTGAGAGGTTTTGTGAGTAGTTTTTTGGACCAATAAGTAATACCTCTGTTTTATCTGAATTTAATAGCAGGAAATTACGCGTCATCCAGCATTTTATATCTTTGAGACACTCTGTCATTTTAGATGAGTTAGTGTTTTCATCTGGTCGTGATGAAATATATAATTGAGTGTCGTCAGCGTAACAGTGGAAATTAATTCCATGTTTTCTTATAATATTACCAAGTGGCAGCATATATATTGAGAATAGCAGAGGGCCTAAAACCGATCCTTGCGGTACTCCATAGTCTACTGACGTTATCTTTGATTTTTTCCCATTTAAACAGACAAAATGAGAACGGTCCGATAAGTACGATCTAAACCAGCTTAATGCCTGTCCCTGGACACCAGTGAAGTTTTGTAGTCGATCCAAGAGTATTATATGATCTATAGTGTCGAACGCAGCGCTAAGATCTAGTGATGGGAAGTTCGGATCATTTTACTGATTCGGATCTTTGAGTCTCGTTCAGTAAAATGAACGAATCTTTTATCGAGTTATTTCGTTCATTTCGGTCATTTCATAATTATATAATTAAAATGTCATGTTAAATATCCCAAAACATCTAGTACTTACGAAAATCTTAATTACATTTGTAAAAATAACATAAATAATAGGGTAATGCAGCCAAAGCCAAAAGCAACTGAAATAACTGTAACGTTAGCTATTAATTAGTTGCTGGGTCTCAAGTTCAGGCTATTGTAGTCTGACCCTGTTATAGTTCACCTCACCTCCTGATCCGAGACGTTCTTTGCTTTGCAACTTCATATTTATCAGGTTTGTTCTCCTTCTCTCATGTCTCGAGACGTTAGCTGTTGACTCGTCAGTGTCTGACTCTGATCTGTGCTGTCTGCTGGGCCGTGCCATGCGATATAGCAGGACCGGAAAGATTAAAGATTAGTTCATCTCTCGAGTCCGGGTTCGGCCGGGTCCGAGTCTTTCGTTCTTCCTGTCACTCCCATAGAGTCTATGCTGTCAGCACCGGAAAGAGAAATGATTAGTTCATCTCTCGAGTTCGGGTTCGGCGGGTCCGAGTCTTTCGTTCTTCCTGTCAGTCCCATTAAGTCTATGCTTTCAGTACCGGAAAGGGGAATGATTAGTTCATTTGAGTCTTCGGGTTTGAGTCCGTCGTTCTTTTCTCACGTACGTGGCCACGGGTCTCGCATCAAATACAACATTAGATTCGTATTATTGACTGCGTCTGAATATTGTGTTATATAGGCATTAAAATACAAAATATGTTCAATAAACATTATAAACAAAGGTTCCATTATTCCTTATTCCTTATTATTGTCCCTGTCCATCTCTTTTCTATATTATGCATCTGTGGTGTGTTTTATTATATATTGTACATTAATTAACTACTATTATATTATACATCATCTACGTGCTTGTTTGTAAAAGGTTTGTGAATTAGTTTGAATTTGGATATTCAATACGGTGACAATTCACGTGACTAAAGAACGAAGGACTCAAACCCGAAGACTCAAATGAACTAATCATTCCTCTTTCCGGTGGTCTGACAGCATAGGCTCAATGGGACTGACAGGAAGAACGAAAGACTCGGACCCGCCGAACCCGAACTCGAGAGATGAACTAATCATTTCTATTTCCGGTACTGACAGCATAGGCTCTATGGGACTGACAGGAAGAACGAAAGACTCGGACTCGCCCCGAACCCGAACTCGAGACTCGAGAGATGAACTAATCATTTCTGTTTCCAGTACAGATTCAGAATCCATATGTTGCGCAATGCGCATGCGCGGGTAACACAACATGAACGAATCACTCCCTGAGACAACTCGATAGTCCCGAGTCATATTAAAGATTCGTTCAAAATGAACGAATCATTCATGAACGACACATCACTACTAAGATCAAGTAGGACTAGTATTGAGATACAGCCTTGGTCAGAAGCTAAAAGTAAATCATTTGTAATTTTAACTTGCGCAGTTTCTGTACTATGATGCGGTCTGAATCCTGACTGGAATTTTTCATAGATATCATTTTCTTGCAAAAAAGAGCACAATTGAGCGGACACTACTTTTTCAAGTATTTTGGACATAAATGGAAGATTTGAGATGGGTCTGTAATTTGCCAAGTTATTTGGATCTAATTGCGGTTTCTTAATGAGCGGTTTTATTACAGCCAGCTTGTATATTTTTGGGACATGACCTAAAGATAAAGACGAGTTAATAATATTGAGGAGAGGCTCTTCCACTACAGGTAATAGTTCTTTCAGTAGTTTAGTGGGTATTGGATCTAATAAACAAGATCCACAAGGATGTGCCTTTCGTTTACACGGCGACGGCGTTTTTGGGGCTTAAAAACGCGAAAAAGTGAAACCACCCTCCAGAGTGGAAATCTTAAAAACGCTCCACCGCCGCGTTCCCGTGTAAACGGTAAAAACGCAAAAGTCTGCTTGACAGTGAAGGTTGTACGCAGGCGCGCGGACTCGGTG